TGATTTTTGTACATTTTCTTGAGCTTTTTCTCTGGGGTGAAGTTAAGGTATGTGAGAACAGCTGGAACTTTCATGTCTTGCTCTTCTATCTCGTGAGTTTTTAGGGGAGCAGTGATCAGCACTACTGAGGTAAGACTGAGGTCCTGGGGTGCCCTGCAGCCCCCTCCCCTGCCAGCCTCTGGACCGTGGCTGACTTGCTCTCCCCCACCTCCACCCCGCCACTCCTTTCTGTGTCTCTGACTCAGGGAATCTGCAGAAAGCATCTTAGTTCTGCTCCGCACAGTGCCCTGGACATTCTGTCTTGTTGATTTCAGACTTACCGTGGCCTATTTCCACTTCATTGCCTGATGTCTGGTGTCTTGAAAATTGCTTTTCAAATATTTTCTGTTTGTTTGCTTCCAGCGGGAGGGAGAACCAGTCCCTCCTTTACTCCCCTGTGACCGGGAAGCAGAACGTGACAGCTAGCACCCTCTCGTTACAACCCAGATGGTGCTGTGCTCAGTGCTGCCCAGGACGGTGGAGAACCAAGAGGATGTGGTCCTGGCCTCACGCAGGTCTGAGGATGTTGGCCTCAGGAGAAGGCGGCCCTGGATTTATGAACACTGACATGGATCAGATGGAATCCCTGCTCAGGAGGAACTCAGAATGAGAAGAGACAGAAGCAGATGTGTTCACAGAAATCGGACTGCAGAGTGTGACGTGTGACAGACATGCAAAGCTCTTGGCAATTCGCAGAAGACGTAATCGACTCTGACCTGCAGCATAAGGGAGAAAGCCTGTCTGCACGGGGGCTGGCAGGGAGCAGGGATGTGAGGGAGGGGCGGTGAGAAGACGGACATGCTTTCAAATGCAGAACAGTAAATCCTTATTCCTGGCCAGACACAGTGGGACCCTCACCATGAGCCAGAGAGGCTGTGCGTTTCCAGCCCCAAGGACTGAGCCTTGGTCCAAACCAACTCCGGGTTTCTGCAGGCCCGGGACGCCACTGTGGCCCCAAAATACCAAAGAAGCAATGCCAGGAGAGCCTCGTCCCACTCCTTCCTGCTGCCCAGGGAAAAATCAGGCCCCAAACCCAGAACTTCTGGCTCCTTTATGACAGATCAAACTGATATAGGGGAAGAGATATAACTCCCAAACCTGCTAGATTTCCAAAGTCAAAGCCACATGGATCGACCCACCAGAAGCCGCAGAAGCCAGACTTTCTGATGTAGGAGATGACAACATTTTCTTAGTTTGGCTGGGTTCTGGTTGGAGTTCGGGTGCTGTCACCTCTGTCCATCCACCTGTTTGAAACTTGCTTCTCCTCTCCACTGGGCCATTTCCTGGCCCCTCTGGTTAGACTGTAGGCCGAACTAAAACACTGATGCATGGATAGATCACTCTGCCCATCCTGGGGCCAAGTGCTGAGCCTGTGTGCAAGGAAGAAGGCAGCACAGTGTGTCGCTCCCTTCCTGAGCCTGTGCCAAAGGATTTGCTGAGCTCGCTGGAGGTGGAGGAAGAGCCTGTGGGTCAGCCCTGGGGCAATTCCATAAACATATCCGGATCCTGGCAGTGCTTCTGCCCTGGTAATTCTCACAGGAGCCACAGCAATGTCTGGAACAATCGAAGTGCCTGGCAGGAAGCCCACTGCAAGAAAGGACGTGAGAGTCCGCGAGTCTGCGGCAACCCCAGTGCCCCCAGGCCAGCGTGGCCTAAACTGCTTCAGGCCGATTCTGGCCCGGGACCAGCGTTCCCAGTCCCACCCCTCATCCCGCCCCCTCCGGAGGCTCCTCCCATCTGCCTTGCTCAGCTTCACTTAGCAGTCCCTGCCCTGCTCACCAGCGGAGCACAGGCAGCACCAAGCCACCTCCACAGGGCGCTGGGCCTAGCAGGAAGCTCCCACGCACCCAGAGGGACGCTTGTCCTCTCTGTGGCCCTGCAGCAGGGGACACGTCTGGGCTCAGACACAGCGCCTTACCCTTTGCAAAGTCCGGAGGCCCCCAGGACCACCCAGGCGGCAGGGAAGTGCAAGGTCCTGTGGCCCTGCCCCCAAAGCCACTGTCCTTCTCCAGCCCACGTGGGCCCCGTCCGGCTGTCCAGGGCTGTGGGGTTCTTCCTCCCCCATCTTAGTTTTCAGGGTCCTGGGCCTGAGCTCAGGGCTTGGCCTCCGGAGGCTCAAGGATCCTCTGAGGGGTGTCTGACCCCTGGCCAGGAGCCCTCTACCTTTTTCTGGGATGGGTCAGGCCTGTGGCCTCCTCATCAGAGCCCTGTGGGTCTCACTACACTGCCAGGGTCTCGGCCACCAGCCCCAGACTGCTATTTACGCCTGCGCTAAAGTTACTTTAAGACTCAAGGCCTGGGCTGTGTCCTGCATGCGGCAGCCCCTGCCTAAGGACTCCGGAGAGCACATTTCCCTCCTGCACCAAGAGGGCCTAGGCTGAGTCACGCAGCGTTTTTGTGACGCCAGCAGTTAGAAATGAAATTCCGATTTCTTCTGGGAAAGTGGATGGTGTCGGCCCCAGATTCAGGGACCTCTGACGGTGCAAGCGGCCCCAGGTGCGCTCCTGGAGGAGTCTGCTCTCAGGTGTTGCGTGTAGCTTTCACTGCAGGTATAGTGGCGGCACACTGTCACATCCATCTTGATCCTTTTTCTTTCCCTCCTCCCTGTCCCCAAAGTCCGCCCTCTGGTTTTCATTTTGCCCCTGGAATGACACTCCAGGTTTTCCCTCTAGAGACCCCGCAGGTCCCTGGGGTGGCTGTGGGCCCGGCCCCGCCTCCAGACATCGGCCGGCCGCCCTTCTGGTCCAGGCTCAGCCCCG